TGTTCACACCCACATACGTGTGTGAAGTCTAGTGTGAATGCTCCTTTAAATTGAAAAACACGGTTTAATGGGTTTTCATCCTAGAGCTCAGCTCTTGTATGTCTTCTAGTGCAGGAAACCTCTGATCTAGTCTACATAGTTTTTATTACATTTTATTGCAGTTTTAGTTATCTTAAGTTTTTTATATATTTAATAATATTTATTTTATTTAACTTTTTTTTTCAAGTAATAAAATATGTTTTTTATGGTTGTAGTTTTAGTTTACTGCAATAACACCTGTATTCCTATCAAATAGAATATATATATTTAGAATATATAGAGTTGCTTAGGGTTTCACATTACCACATTACATATCACAGAGCCACCAGTTGAGTTCACCAAGCCCTTGGAGGACCAGACTGTTGAGGAGGAAGCCACAGCCATTCTGGAGTGTGAACTGTCCAGGGAGAAGGCTGATGTGAAGTGGTTCAGAGACGGACAGGAAATTCGTAAAACCAAGAAGTATGAGATGGTGGCTGAGGGACGCATAAGGAGACTGATCATCAAGGACTGTAGCCTTGATGATTCCAAGACATATACCTGTGATGCAAAGGAGTTCAAGACATCTGCTTTCTTAAATGTTGAACGTAAGTTAAAAAAAAAAAATCTGAGAAACTTGAATAAAGCCAACTAAAGTAAAGACATAAAGTAAACTACACAAATTATCTGTATAAAGCAAATGTATATATTTTTTTCAGCTCCATTTGTGGAATTCACTAAGCCTCTTCATGATATTGAGGTTAAGGAGAAGGAATCTGCTAAGTTTGAATGCGAAGTGTCCCGTGAAAGTGCCAAGGTATTTTTAACAGAAATCTCTGTGCACAGATAGTGGAGTCAAGAAGTCTGAGACTACTAGTGAAGCTGTGCCTGATTTACATTTTAAATTTAATGCAGTTGTTTTAATTACAAATTGTATTATTAGCATAGCAATTTTAGTGAAAAGCTGAACTAAAAAAGTTGCATGATTTTCAGAATTTCGTAGTATTTAAAATGTCTTTCTTAAACAAAAGTATGCACACAGGCTCTGATGATACAGAGTGGATTGATTCATAACTGTTTGTTGCACAGGTCCGCTGGTTTAAAGATGGTGCTGAGATCAGAAAAGGCAAAAAGTATGAGATTATTGCCAAGGGATTGCAGCGTATTCTCATCATCAGCAAGGCAGTATTTGATGATGAAGCAGAATATGAATGTGATGCAAGGACGTCCAAATCCTCTGGAATGCTGACAGTTGTCGGTAAGTTTTGTTTCAGCCGTTGTTCTAAAAGAAAGCTAAAATAAAGACATTAATAACTATTCCTTTTGCCTTACAGAGGAGGAAGCTAGATTCACAAAGAACCTGTCCAATGTTGACGGCACGGAAACCGACAGCATTAAGATGATTTGTGAGGTCTCCAAACCCAGTGCGGAGGTTACGTGGTACAAGGGTGACCAGGAGATTCCCGAGGGTGGTAGATATGAACATGTTGCAGATGGGAGAAAGAGAATTCTCATCATACAGGACCTCCGTATGGATGATGCTGGCGAGTACCAGTGCAAACTGCCTGCTTCAGAAACAAAAGGAACTCTAAAGATCAGTGGTAAGTTTTAAGCTTAGATTCTTTCAAACTCACTGTTATATTAAAGTCCTACAAGCTCAGGGTTCCCATGGTCATGTAAAACCTAGAAAAGTAAGGAATTTTAAAATTGTGATGGAATTTTCTAAAATTAATATATAGATTTCTAGCTATTAAATATTTTGTTTGCTCTTATTGAGTGCAATTTCTTTAAAATTGTTTTCGAAATTCAAGTTTATTGGTCAAAAGGTGTGGGAATCATGATGCACTAAATAATCACACTGATAATTTAATTAGGCATTGATTACCTAAAATTGAGTCTCTTTATTGCTTTAGAATTGGCAGCTGAGTTCATTGCCAGGCCCCAAAACCAAGAGGCTGTTGAGGGCGAAAAGGCTGAGTTTGTTTGCTCAGTGTCTAAGGAAAATTATGAAGTCAAATGGTTCAAAGGAGACAAAGAACTTACAACTGATGATAAGTATGAAATTATCAGTGATGGCAAGAGGAGAGCACTCATTGTCAAAAACTGCGAGCTAAAAGATGAGGGTGCATTCACTGCCCACATTGGCTCTGTAAAGGCTTCAGCAGACTTGTTGGTGATTGGTAAGTTTTTTTGTTGTTGTTAGTACATTTTTCTGTAATATATTTCTGTAAAGGTCTTCAGATGTTTCATTCTGAATTGTCATATTAAACTGAACTAAATATGGGTACCATTACTTGTCTCATTAGAAAAACTGAGGATAATCACTCCCATCAAGGATACCCAAGTAAAGGAAGGACAAGAGATTGTTCTTAACTGCGAGGTGAACTCAGAGGGAGCTAAAGCCAAATGGCTGAAGAACAATGAGACGATGTTTGAGAGCAGCAAGTTTGTCATGGTTCAGAGAGACACTGTGTTCTCTCTGAGAATAAAAGCTGCAGAAAAGTCCGATGAAGCCAGCTATACCATTACACTGACTAACCAACGCGGAGAGCAGGCCAAGTGCTCTGCTAATGTCAATGTACTAGGTGTGTTGTTATTATATGTCTGCCTTTTATACCTTGTGTATTTTGTTAGCAGTAAATGTACAATGCTAATACACATTGCTTTGCATCCACAGAGGAAGCCCTCAAGATCATTGTGCCACTAGAGGACTGTGAAATAGAGGAAAAGAAGACCATGACTTTTACTTGCAAAGTGAACAGACCAAATGTGACAGTCCAGTGGATGAGGGCCGGTCAAGAGATCACTTTCAGCAAACGTATTCTGTATCGTGTGGACAAGGACAAGCACACTCTGACCATTAAGGACTGCAGTCTTGCAGACGAGGGTGAATACAGTGTAGTTGCTGGTGTTGATAAGTCCACAGCAGAACTGATCATCAGTGAGGCACCCGCTGACTTCACCGCTCAACTCAGAGACCAAACCATCACTGAGTTTGAGGATGCTGAGTTCACTTGCAAATTGTCTAAGGAAAAAGCCCACGTTAAATGGTACAGGAACGGACGTGAAATCAGAGAAGGACCAAGGTGAGTTCTGAACCATGAAAGAAAGTACTCTGTAATAATGTGAAAATGTTTGCTAATGATCATGATCTTTTTTTCAGATATCATATGGAAAAAGATGAAAAAGAATGCAAGCTTGTAATCAAAGAGTGCAGACCAGATGATGAATGCGAATATGCCTGTGGAGTGGAAGACAAAAGGACAAGGGCACGTCTCTTTGTTGAAGGTATTTTTCACAGCATCTTACTGGTATTTACAGTGGATATAGAAAAGAATCACCCCCCTATAAATTAATCACATTTTGTTGCTTTGCAAATGCGATCCACAAATAAATCTTAGTTTCACAAACATGTATTGAATTCACAAATACATTAAATGAGATTTGCAAATAAAAAATATTCACAAATATGTTTTTATGTCACAAACAACAACTTTGCCTGGCATTCATTTGTGAATCGCGTCCCATGCATTTGTAGATCGCTACGCGAATTTGTGGATTTTTAAACATTTCTAGCATCAAGACAAATCTACAAATGCATCAACTCCACCCACCGTCTACTCAAGCCAATCAGATAACAGCCACATTTCGCTGACCAATCGTATGCACGGTCTCGCTATACCCAATCACATTTTGCTTTACAATCAGGGCGGGAGCGGATTCATTTTGCACCCCTGCATTATAGACACTTCGTTCAAATTGAGCTGAACTTAAGTGCTGTTTGTGTGGTTAAAAAATAATTTCCAAAAGACTGTTGGAGTGTAAGGCTTCTTTATATTTCCATCAGGACCAACGAATGAGGATAAACTCAGGATTATACACAATTTATAATCATTCACAGATCCCGAGCATCATCAATAACACCCTCGCGACGTGCCCATAGCAAATAGAAATCATTATAATCAGCAATACTGTCTACACTGGACGAGGCACGACACGATAAAGGACAAATGATTCACGCATTTTCTTCGATGAGTACAGTTGTAGTTGTTACAGCTGTTGCAGCGCAGCGCGACAGCGAACGGGGTAGACACGGCGTAAGACATGGCACAATGGCTTATTCTGCCTTTTAAAGCACAATAGCGGTGACAAATATAGGGCATAATAACACATATAGTATCAACTATCATCTGGGTACCAGCCTCAGCATCACTCTAACGTGTACTGGGGATTTGTGAGTGAATGATGTAAATAAAAACCATGCATTTACTTTGGATGCTGTTAAGTAACTTTTACAATCAAAACTAGTAAGTCTGATTTAAAGCGCTGTTTCTCTGGCATTTTCAAAGGCATGTAAAATATAATACTGTGGCTAGGCTTGATACACAGTCTAATGGTCTAACAAAATCCAATTTTAAACTTTTACTGTAACAATTTTTATGGCCCTTATATTTCCTATTTGAGCAAATGCAGATGAATGAGACCGCACTGAACAAATGCATGCAGCGATCTACAAACACACAGGATGCGATTCACAAATGAATGCCAGGCAAAGTTGTGTATGTGACATAAAATGATATTTGTGAATGTTTTTTTATTTGCAAATCTCATTTTATTTATTTGTGAATTTGATTCATATTTGTGAAACTCGTAACATTTATTTGAGGATCATAATCTATTTATTTGGAATTATGCAACAATTCTATCTCCATATTATATAGCCAGATGATTTGATTTGCTAATGCCATCTTTCTTTTCTTTCTTCAACAGAGATTCCAGTAGAAATTGTCAGGCCACCCACAGATGTATTTGAGCCTCCAGCATCAGATATTGTGTTTGAGGCTGAACTAAATAAGGACAGAGTTGAGATCAAATGGATGAGGAACAACATGATCATTGTCCAGGGTGACAAATACCAGATGATCAGTGAGGGCAAAGTTCATAGACTGCAGGTCTGTGAGATCAGACCCCGTGATCAGGGAGAATACAGGATTGTTGCCAAGGAAAAGGATGCCAGAGCCAAGCTTGAGCTTGCAGGTATGATACAGTGAGAGTTAATGATTTTAATGCTGTTTAGGTTTTGAAATACTGTAAAGGGATATATTTGTTAATGTTTTATACCTTTCTTTACAGCTATTCCAAAGATCAAGACTACAGATCAGAACCTTGTAACAGATGCTGGAAAGCCTTTCGTCATGACGGTTCCCTATGATGCTTATCCTCGTGCTGAGGCGGAATGGTTTTACAATGACATCAGCCTTCCTGGGCAAAACATTGACACATCCAATGAACGGACAGAGTACAGGCTGAAGGACCCTAAGAAGTCAGACCAGGGTCGTTACAAGATTGTCATCAAGAACAAACATGGAACAGGAGAGGCTTTCATTAATCTTGATGTCATTGGTAAGCAGGAAATCAAACTAGACGATTTACAGACAATTTAACTGTTCTAGATGTCTGATAAAAGTGTTGTTGTAGATGTTCCGGGACCTGTAAAGAACCTGCATGTTGTTGACACTGCTGATGGTGAGGTCAGCCTTGCTTGGGAGGAACCAGAAAGTGATGGTGGAAGCAAGATCTTGGCTTATGTGGTTGAGAGACGAGATGTCAAACGCAAGACCTGGACAATGGCCACAGACCGTGCTGACATTCCAGAGTACTGTGTTGGTGGATTGCAGAGGGACAACAAGTATTTCTTCCGTGTATGTGCTCGCAATAGAGTTGGAAATGGCGAGCTTGTTACTACTGATGAGGCAGTTCAAGCCAAAAACAAATTTGGTGAGCTATGCTTCAGTTTATTTCTTTCTTTTCTGGTAAGAGGTGAGAATGTATCAACTAATTTTACATGGTCTTAAAAATATTTTTTTATTATTTTTCTGCTTCTAACAGATGTGCCTGATGCCCCTCAGAAGGTTATTGTTGGAGTTGTCAATAGGTTTGGTGCCACAGTTTCCTGGGAACCACCACTTTTTGATGGAGGATCTGAGATCACATCTTATATCATTGAACTACGTGACAGAACGTCTGTGAAATGGGAGCCTGCTATGGTGGTCAAAGCTGAGGATCACACAGCCACACTCAATGATGTTGTCGAAAACAAAGAGTACATCTTTAGGGTCAGAGCTGAGAACAAAGCTGGAATTGGCCAGCCAAGCGCTGCCACAGATCCAGTGAAGATCATGGATCCCATTGGTTAGTAGGGTTTATATTTTGCTCGCTATGTCTAGAGTTGTTGCAAAAGTCATTGTCAAACATTACATTTTGTCTCCTATTACAGAGAGGCCAAGTCCACCTCTGAACTTCAGCTACACAAATCAGACCAAAGACTCAGTTCAGCTGTCATGGGAGACACCAATTAGCAATGGAGGCAGTATGATTACGGGCTACATCATTGAGAAGTGTGAAGATGGTACTGACAAGTGGTGGAGATGTAACGCTAGGCTTTGCCCTGACCTTTACTACAGGGTATGTCATGTTGATTAATTTTGTGTTTTGGATTTAACAAAATTTATTATCATATGAAAAGATCATCTTTTTTTATAATGTATTTATTCATGTATCCTACATCCTACATTAAGGTTTCTGGACTGAAGTTTGGTCAGAAGTATCACTACAGAGTATGTGCAGAAAATGCTGCTGGCGTTTCTGATCCAGCTGATGCAATTGGGTCACTTTTGGCCGATGATCCTCACGGTAAGCCATTTTAAATTTCCCTTAAAGACAGGTAAAAATATGAACACACATCATTTTAAATGTGTACATTTTCTTTTCCACCTTTAGTGGGTCCCACAATGGACCTCAGTGGATTTAAAAATGGTCTGGAGGTCATTGTTCCCAATGCTCTTGTCATCCGAGTTCCCATTACGGGATATCCTGTCCCCAAACCCAAGTGGACATTTGGTGACAAAGAGTTCACTGCAGGAGACCGTGTTTCCATGGTTACGAGGCCTACATACACCGAACTGGTTGTTGCTCCAAGTGTGCGTCCAGACAAAGGAACATACACATTACAACTGGAGAATGATGTGACAACTGTCTCTGGAGAGATTGAAGTCAATGTTATTGGTATGCACATTTTCTTTCTACTATGTTCTCCTACGACGTTGTTGTTTTTGCGCAGCAATTAATGTACATTCCCATTTTTTGCACCTTTCAGCATGTCCAAGTGCACCCAAAGACTTCAAAGTTGCAGAGGTGACCAGACATCATGTGCATCTAATGTGGGAAGCACCAGAGCATGATGGAGGCAGCCCTGTAAGTGGGTACAATATTGAGAAAAGAGAGGTTTCCCGCAAGACCTGGGTCAAGGTGAGCTGTTTTTAACAGTTACTTGTTTACAGTATTTGTACACTCGGTGAAACATTTAGGTTCTAACAACATCTGCTCTTCAGGTGATGTCAGGTGTACAGGACCTCGAGTACACCATCACAGATGTCATTGAGGGCAAGGAGTACTTGTTCAGTGTTATTGCTTGCAACAAATGTGGACCAGGAGAGCCAGCATACATTGATGAACCCGTGAATGTGTCCTCCCCAGCCAGTAAGTCTTAAAAAGTGTTACATTCTTTTAGTTTGAGGGGTATGAAATAAAGAACAATTTGACAGTGAATGAAACTTGTTTGAAATACAGCTGTCCCTGACCCTCCTGAGAACCTGAAATGGAGAGACAAATCAGCGAAGAACATCTTCCTGCTCTGGGAACCTCCCAGATATGATGGTGGTGCTGCTATCAAGGGCTACATTGTTGATAAATGCCAGCGTGGCACTGACAAATGGGAAGCCTGTGGAGATCCCATACCTGAGCTTAAGTGAGTGGTGATTCTTCATGAGCATCCCTGTAATGGCACATAGTGTGTTTAATAATTATTCATATATGTCTGTAATGTTTATCATTATACGTATCCCAGGTTCCAGGTGACTGGTCTTATTGAAGGTCAGTGGTATGCCTATCGTGTGAGAGCAGTGAACAGACTTGGAGCCAGCCGACCATGCAAGGCTACAGATGAGATCCTGGCTGTAGATCCTAAAGGTTAGTGATCTAGGTCCATCAATGTAATAGTTAAATAATAGTTAGAATTCACTATATATTAACATTTACATTATATTACAGAGCCACCAGAAATCCAGCTGGATGTGAAGCTTCTAGCAGGCTTAACTGCTAGGGCTGGCTCTAAGATTGACTTGCCAGCTGATGTGCTTGGCAAGCCGGAGCCAAGAGTAAAATGGACAAAGGCTGACCTTGTCCTGAAACCAGATGATAGGATTACTATCGACACAAAACCTGGCCATTCCACACTTTCCATTGCAAACACAACCAGATCTGACACGGCCACCTATATCATTGAGGCAGTCAACACTAGTGGCCGTGCCACTGCAACTGTTGATGTCAACATTCTTGGTATGGTGTTATCTGTCATTTCAGCATAATCAAATTAAGAAATCAGTGGTAATTGTAAATATTAATGTCTTGTCATTATGTTGAAAAACAGACAAACCTGGCCCTCCGGCTGCTTTTGATATCTCTGAAATCACCAATGAATCCTGCTGTCTGGCCTGGAATGCTCCCAGAGATGATGGTGGCTCCCCAGTAACCAATTACATTGTAGAGATGAGACCCACAGATAAAGAAGAGTGGCAGAAACTGTCTGCTACAATCAAACAAACTGCTTTCAAAGCCTCCAAACTGGTTCCTATGAAAGAGTATATCTTTAGAGTGTCTGCTGAGAACCAGTATGGCATTGGGACTCCTGCAGAGCATGTGCCTATTGTTGCAAAGTATTCATTTGGTAAGCATACAACACACTATATTATTTATTTATTTATTACCTAACATTTACAAAATTAATTAAATTTTCTCTGTCACTCAGATACCCCTGGGTCACCAACCAGGGTTCAGCCTTCTGATATCACAAAGGATGCTGTAACTCTGACTTGGTTTGAGCCTGATGAAGATGGTGGAAGCCCCATCACTGGTTACTGGGTTGAGAGGTTTGATCCTGAGACTGACAAATGGATCAGGTGTAACAAGCTGCCAGTTAAGGACACATCGTACAGGTAGGGTAATCATTTTCATTGTGTCTGTATTTAAATGGTAAATGAAGTGCAAAACTCTAGAAAGTCTCTAATTAATGTTACCTTTTCAGGGTGAAAGGTTTGCCAACAAAGAAGAAGTACAGGTTCCGTGTTTTGGCTGAGAATCTTGCAGGACCAGGAAAGCCAAGTGCTGAGACTGACCCAGTTTTGATTAAAGATCCAATTGGTATGTTATGGATTTATTTTTCAATGGTTGATGCAATAATTAACATTTGAAATAATGAATCTCAAATGTTGTTATTTTAGATCCTCCTTGGGCCCCTGGGAAACCATTCATCAAAGACATTGCCAAGACTTCAGCACACCTGCAGTGGACCAGACCTGAGCATGATGGCAGCGCTAAGATTGAGTCCTACATAATTGAGCTTCAAAAGAGTGGAACTGAGGAATGGGTTCGTGTAGCTGAGGATGTGCCAACAACAGAGCATTTATTGAAGGGTCTGATGGAGAAGCAGGAGTATTCTTTTAGAGTCAAGGCCGTCAATGTTGCTGGAGAGAGTGAACCCAGTGATCCAAGTGACCCTGTTGTCTGCAAAGAGAGACTTTGTGAGTGTTTACAGAACATTCGAAAAGTGATTCGTTTAATAATTATAGTCATTATAGTCAACTATTATATATATCAAGATCATATCATCAAGAATATATCTAGATATCAGTATCTAGAAGTCAAAAAGCAAGACATTTATTTGTATGTGTACGATGACTTAACCAGAATGTTATCATAATATCGAACCCCAATTTTCAATACATTCTCTGATTTTTGTATTCAACCTGCAATGATCTGTAAACAATAATATTATTTTTGTTATTCTCATTCCAACAGATCCTCCAAATGTTCCACGCTGGCTTGAGGTGGTTAACATTACTAAAATCAACTGTGACCTGAAATGGACTGAACCAGATAGTGATGGTGGCTCTCCGATCACCAACTATGTTGTTGAGAAGAGGGACGTCAGACGCAGGGCCTGGCAGCCTGTGGATACCACAGTGAAAGAAACCAAGTATGCTGTCACTCCACTGAATGAAGGCTCTCTTTATGTGTTCCGTGTTGCTGCTGAGAATGCAGTTGGTGTAAGCGAGTTTTGTGAACTAGAGGACTCTGTTTTGGCCAAGGATACTTTCAGTAAGTTGAACAACATTTTATCTGTAGCTATTTTATATATTTATGTGTGTGTGTGTGTGTGTGTGTGTGTGTGTTAGTTTTCATTAAAATGAGTGATTCTTGTCTTTTCTAGCAAACCCTGGACCACCCTACGCTTTGACTGTTGTTGAGGTGTCCAAGAGACATGTTGACCTGAAATGGGAACCACCCAGCAGTGATGGTGGAAGACCCATAACCAAGTATGAACATTAAGTATAAAACACTGGTTTTGTAAAATTCAAACAAAATGATGTGTTTGCATGTGGTGTTCAAGGCAAAAAGAGAAAAGTCTTATGAACCATTCTTTTCATAGGTATGTTATTGAGAAGAAAGAGAAGGTAGGCACACGCTGGGTAAAGTCTGGAAAGACATCTGGCCCTGAATGCAAGTACAGGGTGACTGATGTTGATGAAGGCTCTGAGGTACAGTTCCAGGTCCGTGCTGAGAATGAAGCTGGAGTTGGCCACCCAAGTGAACCTACTGTTATCATGACCATTGAGGATCCCATAAGTATGTTAACTTTATGCATAATTGCATAGCATTCGACACATACAGGACTAATGCTAGTGATAGAAGATTATGTATGCACCATAATCTTGATTGATTCATGTGGATTTTTAGGTCCACCTTCTCCTCCACTTATAGTCAAGATTGTTGATGCCAGCAGAGAGCACATCAACATTACATGGAAAGCTCCAGAAAAGAATGGCGGAAGTCCAGTCACAGGCTACCATGTTGAGCTGTCGGAAGCTGGAACTGAGAAGTGGATGAGGATTAATGCTCGTCCTGTCAAAGAGCTCAGGTTTATGGCTGAGGAAGGCATCATTCCTGAGAAAAAATATGTTCTGAGAGTTCGTGCTATCAATGCGATTGGAGTCAGTGATCCCTCTGAAATTTCAGATGGTGTCTTTGCTAAAGACCCTGACTGTAAGGACTATTCAGTTATTCATTGTGAATGAGTGTATATAAGTGTGTGTGTGTATATATTTTTTTTTGTTTTATTGTTCTGGCACTGGTATTTAATACATCTTTCAATATTTTAAAGGTGCACCAACCATGGATCTCAAGACCCAAGACATTGTAATTGTTGAGGGTGAGAAGATGGACGTAAAAATCCCATACAGAGCAATACCAAAACCATCAATGGTCTGGAAAAAGGGTGACACTGAATTAAAGACTGAAGACAGACTGACGTTGACATGTGAACTCAATCGTGTTCACCTGGAGCTTCTCAAGTGTAAACACGAAGATGCTGGCGAGTACACTGTTACTCTTGAGAACAGTCTGGGTTCAGTAACTGGCACAATCAACGTAAAAGTGATCGGTAAGAAACTATTTAGTTATACAAACTGTCTTAACTGATTCCACTTGTCACACTTATAAAGCCTACTGCTCAAAAATACCTCAATGCCTCATATTTTCCATTAAAAGGCCTGCCTGGACAATGTAAGGACATCTCTTCCAGTGAGGTCACCAAGGACTCTTGCAAGATCTCTTGGGAGCCTCCAGAGAGTGATGGTGGTAGCCCGATCTTGCACTATGTTCTAGAGCGTAGGGAAGCTCAGAAGAAGACATTTTTACCTGTGATATCTGGAGACAATGTTTTAAGTTTTGTGGTCAAAGATCTTATGCTCAATGGTGAATATTACTTCAGAGTGAAGGCTGTCAACAAGATTGGTAGTGGCGAGTTTCTTGAACTCCGTAATCCTGTCATAACAGAAGAACAAAAACGTAAGTTTAATTCATTTTTTAAATTAATATTAATTATATTTTATGTACATTCTTATTATCTATTATTTTTATTATTATCATTATTAATTATAGAACGCCCAGACCCACCAATTGAGGTTGAAGGACACAATCCCACCTCAAATTCGATCACTGTTACTTGGATGGCTCCACCATATGATGGTGGATGCCCAATCACAGGGTACATTCTTGAGAAGATTGAAAAAGATGGTGACAGATTTGAAAGATGCATTCCAAATCTGGTACCTGGTTTCTCCTACACTGTTACTGGCTTGACGGAAGGAAAGGAATACCAGTTCCGTGTCCGTGCAGAGAACATTGCAGGAGAAAGTGACCCATCTCGCAGTACACCATTGATTAAGGCTGCTGATCCTGTTGGTATGTTAAAAAACAAAATCTATTACAGTTTCGTTTCGAATATGTGAACTTTTCTAACTCTTCAGTGTGTCAAGTAAAACATTACATATAACTGTTTTGTTTTTGTTTGTTTTTTTCAGAACCACCAAAGGTATCACTCCATGCCCGTATTGCATCTGGCCTCAGTATCAAAAAGGGCGAGGAGATTAGATTGGATACTTACATATCTGGATCTCCCTACCCAACTGTTACATGGCTTAGAAATGATGAGAATGTGAGGCAGCCACCAGCTAAGAAAAAAACAGAAATTGTGAAAAAGAAGAAAAAGAAGTCTGTTCAGCCTGAACCTGAAGAAGAATTCCATCCACCACTTTTAGATCGCCTGTCATTCGACCAGAGCAAAAGGAGTGAAACTGCTTTGATGGTGCGTGATGCCATCAGAACTGACCATGGAATTTTCACTATCAGAGTTGAGAATCCCCATGGTTTTGCAACAGCGTCGTGTGAAGTCAATGTTCTTGGCGAGTTACTTTTGGAACTACAATGATTATCTTCTTAAGAATTTATTTAATGAAAAAAATGTATTAACGTTTCTGCTTGTTGTAACTTACAGATAAGCCTGGCCCCCCTGTTAACTTTGGATTTGATGAGATCAGGAACACCTCTGTTGTTTGCATGTGGGATGCACCTCTTGATGATGGTGGCAGTGAGATCATCAACTACATACTGGAAAAGAAAGACAACACTACTGATGAGATTGGTTGGGTAACTGTGACCTCGACCCACAAGGGATACAATTACCCTGTAACCAAGCTTATTGAAGGAAAGGAGTACATCTTCAGAGTCACAGCCGAAAACAAGTTTGGCTGTGGACATCCATGCTACTCTGAACCACTTATTGCGAAGAATCAGTTTGGTAAATTATATTTTAGTTATACTTTGAACAGTAGTTGTCTTATATTATGCCTTATTTGAAATTATTTGAATATTGTTTTTCAGAACCACCTGATGCTCCCAACATGCCTAGAATTGGAGAGGTCACCTCCAGCACAGCTACTCTCAGCTGGCATGAGCCAAAGGACAATGGTAGCCCTATCTTGGGCTATTGGGTTGAGAGACGTGAAGTCAACAGCAAATATTGGACCAGAGTGAACAACAATCTTCTTAATGCATTGTCGGTTAAGGTTGAGGGCCTTATGGAAGGCCTTGTTTACATATTCAGGGTCTGTGCTGAAAATCTTGCTGGCCCGGGAGAATTCAGTCCACCAACTGACCCTCAGACTGCAATGGATGCAATCTGTAAGTGTGAAAAATGAAAATGAAACATTAAAAATATGGAAATGTGGTTATCAATTGGTATACATATTTAATTGTGATTGGTTTCATAGTTTTTTTTTTTTTTTATCAGTATAAAACTCATGGTAGCACTTTAGGGACAAATTCTCTCTATTAACTAATTGCTTATTATCATGCATATTACTAGCATATTGGCTGTTTATTAGTACCTATAAAGCACATACTAATGCCTTATTCTGCATGACCATATTTTAGATCCCTTAATCTAAAATATATATACCTAAACCTAACATCTACCTTACTAACTATTAATAAACAGCAAATTAGGAGTTTATTGAGGCAAAGGTTGTATTTAATAGTTAGTTAATAGTGAGAAATGATCACCACACTAAAGTGCTACCAAACTCATGATTTATACTAAATGTAACAATATTTTTGCAGTACCACCTGGCCCTCCTGCACCAAAAATGGTTGATGTCACAAATACAACTATCGATATCAGTTGGGTACCTCCATTGTACAATGGTGGTGGAGAAATCCTTGGATATCATGTTGAGCGCTGTCTGGTTGGAGAGAAAGAGTGGGTCCGCTGCACTGAGTTTAGATGCAAAGACCGCAAATACACTGTGACTGGACTGACTGAGGGAGCAGATTATTACCTTCGTGTGTACGCTGTAAATGAAGCAGGTCATGGTGCCCCAGGCATGACTGAACCTGTTCAGGCCAAAGAACCTGAAGGTATGTAGAAAAACTTGTGGCACTTTCTACAAACAGTGAGTGCAACGGAGGACCTAAAGCTCTTAATTTTTTTTTTTCAAACAATGAGTCTCGATTTAGATGTCTCTCAGCATTGCTTTGCAATTATTAGAGAAATTATAATAACATTTTAAATCTGTACTGAATTAACAGAGGCCCCAGGGGTTGAGTTTGATGTCTCTGTAAGGAATGGAGTCATCATTAGAGCTGGAGAAACGTTGCGTCTCCCTGCTGTTGTTACTGGTCGCCCTGTACCAGAAGTTAAGTGGACAAAAGATGATGCAGAGCCAGACAAGGAACACATAGTTATTGAGACAGAAGGAAAAAACAGCAGTTTAACCATCAAAAATGCTTTGAGAACTGACCATGGCATATACCAGATCACAGGTACCAACCCCAGCGGAACAAAGTCTGCCTCCGTTAAGGTGGATGTGATGGGTAAGTTAAATTATTTTCTTAAAAAAATTGTTTGCTTTTAAAACCTGAAATTTAACCTCTGATTGGGATGTTTTCTTGTTCTATTTTTATTTATTTTTTGTACAAAAGATGTTCCCGGACCAGTGGTTGACCTTAAGACAGTTCATGTGACCAAGAAGATGATTTCACTCACCTGGTCAGATCCCCTGGATAATGGTGGAAGTGACATCATGGGCTATGTTGTTGAAAGAAAAGATGCCAAAATGCACATTTACAGACAACCCTTAGAAGTTGCTGCTTGCAAATGTGACATTGTTGGTCTTCTTGATGGAGAAGAATATATGTTCCGTGTAGTTGCAAGGAACAAGTATGGCCTTGGTGCTCCTGTTGACTTTGGACCTGTTTTAGCAGTGGATCCCAAAGGTAAATAAAACAGAATAATACAATTATTTTATCTCATTATTGAAAATACATTTAAATTATGTTCATTTTATAATTTGTATTACTTGTTTTCATACAAATGCAATAAACAATGTTGACTTTATTGAAATTTTAGGAGTTCCATCTGCCCCAGAGAAATTGCACTATACGGAAAGGACCAAGAACACTATTACTTTGACTTGGGAACCTCCCCGTAGCGATGGTGGTTCTCCAATCAGAGGCTACTATGTTGAAAAGATGAGACAAGACAGCAACGAATTTGATGTTGCCAATCGGCAACTCTGCAAAGACCTCACCATCACTCTGGAAAGTCTCTCTGAGAACATGATGTATGACTTCAGAGTCAAAGCTGTCAATGAGGTTGGAGATGGAGAACCATCCAAACCAATCAGTGTCAATATTCAGGATGATGAACGTATGTATCACTCCCTATAATGTAAATCATTGACAACTTTTGAACACATTTAGTTTAAGTTTTTTATCAAATTCATACCTTACTCTTTTCATTTATATTTTTCCTCTATTTTAGATTCACCAACTGTTAAGTGGTTGAAATTCTTTAAGAGTGATGCCATTATTGTCAAGAAGGGAGCAGCTATTGAAATTCCTGCTGAAATTCTTGGCCTACCCTTGCCTACCTTTGAGTGGACAAAGAATGGAGTAGTTATTGACCAACCTACTGAGACAATGACATTGGAATCAGAGGAGATTAACAGGCAAACTATCAATACCAAAATTGGTATTCCTGAAACTGTAAGACAAGATACAGGCATTTACAAGTTAACTGCCACAAATACCCGTGGAGTAGGTCAACGGACAATACGAGTGGATATCTTGGGTAAGACTTTAAATCATGTTCAGTATTTGATTTTACTTAAGCTTATAGAATTTTCACCAAATGGGAAGTAGTATTGGTTGTTACAAGTTACATGGTGCTTTTCCTGTAATTAAGTTATGTAGGATGCAACTCTTTATTTTCAGCAATTCTGTTACAAGATTACTTTAATGATGCATTGAGGGGATGTCATAACTGTGGTGGTGTTGTTTCCCTAGATCGCCCATTGGCACCAAGAAACATTGTGGTGTCTGACATCAAAGCTGAGTCTTGCTACCTAACCTGGGATGCTCCAGAGGACAATGGTGGAAGTGACCTCACTAACTACATCATTGAGAAGAGAGATGCCAGCAAAAAGAAGTCTGACTGGGAACAGTTGACATGCTGCATCATAGACAGACGTTATGGGGTTAATATATATTATTAATACATATTACTATGAGACAGTCCTTTTCAGAATTAGACTGTGATATGTGCTTTTAAATGCTCTAAATGTGATTTAATCCCCTTCTGAAGGTGTACAAGTTGGAGGCCTATGGTACCTACCAGTTTCAGATCAAAGCTGAGAACAAGTACGGGGTCAGTGATGGTTGTGAATCAGAAAAGGTTGTACTCAAAGATCCATTTGGTCTTCCTGGGCCTCCCCAGAGACCAAGGATTATTGGTCACACTTGCTCATCCATGTTGGTCACTTGGGAGCCTCCAAAAGACAATGGTGGCGCAACCATTCAAGGCTACTGGCTTGAAAAGAGAGAGAGAGGAGCTGTGTACTGGAGTCGTGTTAACAGGGCTCCAGTAACAAAACCAGCAGTCAAGGGCCTGGAATACAGTGTGCTCCACCTTATTGAGGGTGCCGAGTACCAGTTCCGTGTAATGGCTCAGAATGCAGCTGGCGTTGGACCTCCAAGTGAAGCAACAGAGTGTGTGTTTGCACTTGATCCAAGATGTAAGTAATATTTCTTATGTTGATAGGTTTATGAATTCCCGTTTCTAATGAATAAAACATTCTTAAATGTTACTTGTAGACCCACCAGGTCAACCACCAGCACCTGAAGTATCAGACAAAACCACAAGCAGCGTGAGTCTTTCCTGGACCTCACCAGAAAAAGATGGAGGAAGTCCAATAAAGGGTTACATTGTTGAAGTTCAGGATGAAGGTTCACATGAGTGGAAAAGGATCAATACACCGAATAAGCTGATCCTAACCAATTCATACACTGTGTCAGGGCTTAAAGAGAATAAAAAATGCAGGTTCAGGATTGTTGCTGTCAATGCTGCTGGTGAATCTGAGCCAAGTCCCAGAACTGCCGATACCATTGTACAAGATATTCTGGGTAAGCCTTACTTTTGTGCAGATGTGTTGCAATAATATAGAGTAATAGTTAATACATACATGTAGAAAGTTATATATGATTAAAGATATGTGTAACTCGACTTGTTCACAGAGGAACCTGTCATTACCATGGAGGTCACAGTTCATGAGCTTCTGAATTGTCATGCTGGAACAACCATCAAGATTCCAGCCACCATCTCTGGCAAACCTATTCCGAATGTTACATGGGACTTTGATGGAACTGCCCCAACAGGGAAAAAGAATGAGCGTCATACTTTGCCAGAGGATTCAGAAGTAGGATTATTAATATTTTTTTAAATATTTTTTTAAAGTCCAAACAAACATGCATTATTTAAATAATAAATTTTACATTTAAACTTTGCAGATATCATCCAGTGATACAACATCAGTAGTGACAATCCCTGAATGTAAATTAAACCACTCTGGGCGATACATCATCACTGCCAGCAACCAGGCTGGCACCAAAATCGTTAAAGTGCGCGTGAATGTACTTGGTAAGCAACATTATATTTAAAATACAAAACATCACAACCTGAAACAGTAGTAGTTTCATTCAAATATAAGTTTAGAAGTATGTATCATATCACATAATATCATATCTCATTATACCATGTCTCTTTTTTTCTAGATTTGCCTGGAGCTCCTACAGATCTCAAAGTCAGTGACATCACACGTGGAACATGTAGACTAAGCTGGAAGCCACCAGACTGTGATGGGGGTGACAGAATCAAGAGCTACTTTGTTGAGAAAAAGACTGTTGAAGGAAAGGCTTGGACAAAGGTCAACCCAGCTTGCGCAACACAGTCCTTAGTTGTGCCAGACCTCATTGAAGGACAAGAATACTTGTTCCGTGTAAGAGCTGAGAATCGCTTTGGTTTAGGACCTCATATCACAACCATTCAGCGGACTAAAGCCAGAGATCCTATTCGTAAGTGTATTTTGTAAACGAGTCTATCATTAACCCGAAGACCGCAACGATCTTTGATTGTACAGATAAGGCGTCATTTGAAACTGCAAAGGGTCTACTTCTATTTGTGCATAGTCATAATAACAACAAAACAATGTGCTTTTGTAAAATAAAAAATGTTTAAATACAGTTTATCCTGACTATTCATAACACTGAATTTTTGCAGATCCTCCTGATCCACCCACAAGAGTCAAAATCGTTGATGTGTCCAAGGGCATTGTGACTCTGACATGGAAGCCACCAAAGAATGATGGTGGTGCACCTGTAACTCACTACAATGTTGAACGTCTGTGGTGGGATAGCAGTGGAAACCAGCAAGAGTCCTGGAGACAGTGCAACCGCCGTGATATTGATACCACCACTTTCAAAGTGGAGGATCTCCACCAGGGTGCTGAATACGAATTCCGTGTTAAGGCTGTGAATGAGGTTGGTGCCAGTAGACCATCCTCTACAGCTGGACCAATCATTATTAAGGACCAGAACAGTGCGTACAAAGCAACACACATAAAGGAATTCAGTGAATTTGGGTTGCATGGTGTACAAATTCTTTCTTCCTTTCACTTTTAGGGGCACCTTCCATTGAGCTTCCAGAATTCATGGAGGTTGAACAGTGTGCTGATATTCATATTGTTGCTAAGATTAAGGGCTGTCCATTTCCAACACTTACATGGCAGAAGGCTCCTCCTCACAAAAGTGAAAACAAGGTTGATGTTGAGTATGATGAGCACATTAACAAACTTGTGTCTGATGATAGCTGCACACTGTTGATCCAGCAGGGCAAACGCTCAGATACAGGCCTCTACACTCTTACTGCTAGCAACAGCCTTGGCACCATTGCCAAAGAAATGAGGCTTAATGTTCTAGGTAAATTTCAACAACCAATTTTTCATATGAAGAGATGTAGGTGTTGTTATTAGAAGTAACATAATTCTTTCTTCTTTTAAACAGGGCGTCCTGGGGCTCCATCTGCACCCATTAAATTTGAGGAAATTCATGCTGAACAGATAACACTGTCATGGCTGCCTCCTAAGGATGATGGTGGCTCCAAAATTACAAATTACACTATTGAGAGACGTGTTGCCAACAGGAAGACTTGGATACCTGTCACTAGTGAACCCAAAGAGAGAATATTCACGGTTGACAATCTAATGCCAGGCCATGAGTACATTTTCAGGATTAGGGCTCAAAACAAATATGGTGTTGGTGATCCTCTTGATAGTGAACCTGAAGTAGCCAGAGATGTGTTCAGTAAGTATTCATTCACATATTTAAAGCTTATCTAATTAGAGACATGTTGTATGTTTAGATTAGTCCTACATTTATTTCACCTGATAATTCTGATGTTATTTTATGTCTATTTTTTAGTGCCACCTGGCCAATGTGACAAGCCAACACTCTCTAGCATCACAATAGACTCCATGACTGTGAACTGGGAAGAGCCAGACTCAGATGGAGGCACTCCAATCACAGGCTACTGGCTTGAGCGTAAAGAAACCACATCTAAACGCTGGAGCAGAGTAACTCGTGATCCAGTCAGGCCCATGCCACTTGGTGTGTCACACAGAGTCACAGGGCTCATTGAGGGATCTCAGTATTTGTTCCGCGTGATTGCAATTAATGCGGCAGGATGTGGACCTCCAAGTGAGCCATCTGATCCAACATTTGCTAGAGATCCAATAGGTAGGAAAACAATACAGTGTCAGATCCAATGGCATATTGTTTTTTAGTAATAGAGACTCAAACTATGACAAACCTGTTTTCTTGTAGCTCCTCCTTCGCCCCCAACTCCGAAAGTCACGGACTGGACTAAGACCACAGCAGACTTGGAATGGATTCCACCATTGAAGGATGGAGGTTCAAAGATAATGGGCTACCATGTTGAATACAAAGAGGAGGGCACAGAAGCATGGGTTAAGGTTTGTTTAAGATTTATGTATACCCAAATATTTAAATTTTAGCAAAACATGTTCATGTACTCTTTATACATTACAAATAAAATCTTCCTTCTGTTCCAGGCCAAAGACAAGGAAGTTAGAGGTACTAAATTTGTGGTCACTGGACTGAAAGAGAATGCATTGTATAAGTTTAGAGTTTTGGCATTCAGTGCTGCTGGTCTGAGTGAACCAGGCGAAGTTGCTGATGCTCTTGAAATGAAGGACCGGATAAGTAAGTCTCAGTGATTCAACATTCTGCAAATTAAGTGCTATTTTATTGCTTGTGTGGAGGAAAAAAAACATAAGGATTTATTTGCAATAATAATTGAATGAAAATTTGTTTTTGCCATTTCAGTTTTGCCAGTCCTTGAGCTGGACATTTCAGTAAAGGAGAAGATGGTTATTCATGCAGGAGGTGTTATTCGTATCATCGCTTATGTGTCAGGCCAACCTCCACCTGTGATAACATGGAGCAGAGATGGGTATCCAGTCCCATCAGAAGCTGTTATTGAAACCACCTCAATCAGCTGTTCCATGGTAATTAAAGATTGCACTAGGGCACAACGAGGTGTTTATACAATAACAGCCAAGAATGATGGAGGAGAAGTGAAGAAGTCTGTTATTGTTGACGTTCTTGGTAAGTAAGAATTATCAGACACGAATAATCTATACATTACTGTGAAATAGCTATGTTATAGAAACTACAGTTTCTTTTCTTATTTTGCTACTTCAGACATCCCTGGTCCAGTGGGGGCACCATTTACAGCTGAAAACCTTACAAGTGACTCATGCAAGCTGAACTGGTTTTTCCCTGATGATGATGGTGGATCTGCCATCTCCAACTACATAATTGAGAAACGTGAAGCTGATCGCAAGGCTTGGACATCTTGCTTCTATACAGCAGGCAGACAAAATGCTGTAGTAAATAATCTGGTGCTTAAAAAGGAATATTTCTTCAGAGTCGCAGCTGAAAATGCAATTGGAGTAGGTCCTTTCTGCCAAACAGCATGTGAAATTGTGATTAAAGATCGCATTAGTAAGTATTTTTCTTTATTTTTCTATTTTTTCTGGTTTTAAAATAGCTTGAAACTATATGACCAATTAATGCAACTGTACAATAATATTCCGCATTGATGGTAGCTAATCATCATTTGACCTCTTTTTGACTAGATGTTCCATACCGTCCAGAAGATCTTGAGGTGACTGCCATCACCAAAGACTATATCAGTGTGACTTGGAAGCCACCTAAGTATGATGGAGGGTCTGAGGTGTTATCCTACATTCTTGAGGCTCGCACGATTGGCAAAGACAAGTTTGTCAGACTGACCAAAGAGAAACTTATGGATAGGAAATACACTTATGATGGTCTTCGTGAAGGCGACACCTGTGAATTCCGTGTCAGTGCAGTGAATGAAGTTGGTCCAGGCAAACCATCCTTCTCCACTAAGCCAATTACATGTAAAGACGAACTTGGTGAGTTTTTTTTTTTTTAGCTCTTCAATTGTTCTTCATTTGGTACACCACATTACACTAGCTATTATCTAAGTGTTCATGATGTGATATTTTTCTTTTTCCCATTTTAGAGCCCCCTACAATTGAGCTGGACTTCCGTGATAAGGTTGTTGTTCGTGTTGGTGAAAGCTTTGCACTACAGGGGCGGTATACTGGAAAACCAGCGCCAACTGTCACCTGGTCAAGAGATGATAAGGAACTAAAAGCAGATGACCACATCAAGTTCAAAAATACTACTACCACTATGTGTCTGGGTATTATTAAAGGTCAGCGTGGACACAGTGGCAAATACTGTGTGACAGTTGAAAACTGTACTGGTGCTCGTAAAGGCATTTGTAATGTCACAGTTGCAGGTAAGTCTCATGAAACAAGACAAATGTTTACTAAACTATAAAATAATATGATGAATAAAAAAAATACATATTTTGGTCTGATGACTAACAAAAGCAACCTCTCTTATCTATGTATATTTTGTGCATTTTTAGATCGACCATTGCCTCCAGAGGGCCCAGTTGTATTTGAGGAAGTTCACCGAGATCACATGGTTATTTCTTGGAAGCCCCCTCTTGATGATGGTGGATGTGAAATTTCTAACTACATCATTGAGAAGAGAGATGTAAACAGGGACATGTGGACAACTGTAACATCTGCCACCACAAAAACCCGCTGCAAAGTACCTAAGCTTGTAGAGGGTCGTGAATACATCATAAGAATTAGTGCTGAGAACCTGTATGGCATAAGTGACCCACTGGAGTCAGAGGAGATGAAAGCTAAAGATCTATTCAGTATGTAAAAACACAAAGAAATATTGTAAATTTAAACCTATAAAAATTGTATGTTTTGTTCCTGATATCCTTCACCTTATTACAGGGGTACCTGAGGCACCTGAGCAACCCACTGTAAAAGACGTCTTCCATGATTCAGCACTGGTGATTTGGAACCGTCCTCGTGATGGTGGAAAGCCCATAACAAACTATATATTTGAGAGGAAGGAGCCCACAGCTAAGAGATGGTCTCGTGCAACCAGAGATCAAATCTACCCTGCTACACAGTATAGGGTACAAGACCTCGTTGAAGGCTGTGAATATGAATTCCGTGTAATGGCAGAGAATGAAATTGGAACTGGAGATCCTAGCCTTCCCAGTAAACCTATTCTTGCAAAGGATCCGATTGGTAGGTCTTCATGTTTTGATGGTTTCTTTTTCTTAATGCATATCAAGAAATAGTACTTTTGATAATTCTTTATTCACTTATTCTTTAATAGTTAAGCCAAGCCCACCTGTTTTGCCTGAAGCTGTTGACAAGACTAAAGATTCTGTAAGTCTGTCATGGCGTGTTCCTCGCCATGATGGTAAAGGGAAAATATTTGGTTACTTGACTGAGTATCAGAAGCCCGGTGCAATCGAATGGATCCAGGCAAATGAATCACCTGAATCATGCCCAGACACCAAGTTTGTTGTGACAAATCTACCAGACGGTGGAGAGTTTCGATTCAGAATTATGGCTGTGAATGCAGCTGGAAAATCTGAGCCTGCTTATGTCAAGGAACCAGTGAAAGTTCATGACAGACTTGGTAATTTCTTCCTTTTTGTTTACATATTCAGAAAACAGTAGTGTTGAAAGGTAGCTGTTGCTTTATAATTACACATATTTAACTGGAGGTATGTTGTTCACATACTGGAAGATAAAAAAATATGAATAATTCATATCCTTCTAATCTCAATTCTCATGCAGAGGAACCGGAGTTGCTGTTAGATGCCAATATGGCACGTGACCACCTTGCCATGGTTGGAACAGACATCACACTTAGTGCCACATTTAAGGGCATGCCAATTCCCACTGTCTCTTGGAAAAAGAATGATGGTGAAGTTCCTGCTCATTGTCTTATTGAGGTCACAGCAAGTGGAAGCAAACTTCACATTAAGAAGTGTACCCGTGCTGACTGTGGCAATTATACCATCACTGTTCAAAATGCAGCTGGAACGAAATCTGCTACCTGCACTGTCCTTGCTCTTGGTACGAATGTTTTAAGAATAAATGCTTAACGGTATACATATTTTCTATAATTAGCTAGATATCTAGATGAATCTTTTTTTTTTGTTTAGATAAACCTGGACCACCAAGGAATCTTAAAATCTCTGAAGTCACAAGTGAATCAGCTTACCTGACATGGCAAAAGCCAGAAGATGATGGTGGTGCTGTGATCTCCCACTATGTTGTGCAAAAGAAAGATGTAGCAGCTGAGAACTGGGTTCCAGTTTGTGCTGCATCTAAAAAGCTTAGCCTTATGGCTCAATATCTGATGGAGGGAATTCAGTATCTCTTCAGAGTTGCAGCTGAGAATCAGTTTGGCAGGAGTGCATTTGTTGAAACCACCAAGCCTATCAAGGCAGTTGATCCACTTTGTAAGTATTAAATATAATGTTACTTTTCAATGCTTAACTATTTTATACCAGTTTGTTTCATTCATTTGTATATTTTTACCTAAAGATCCTCCTGGTCCACCCAAGAATCTGCATCATGTGGATGCAGACAAAACTGAAGTATGGCTTCAATGGGAGTGGCCTGATCGCACAGGTGGAAGTGAGATCACCGGATTCATTGTTGAACATCAAGAAGAAGGTGCCACCGACTGGGTGACCTTCAAGACTGTCAGCAATCCTCAATGCCATGTTACTGGACTTGTGGAGGGCAAAACCTACAGATTCCGTGTAAAATCACAAAATGCAATTGGCATTAGCCGACCAGACACCAGTGTGCCTATTACTTGCCAGGAAAAAACCTGTAAGGCTTACACAATATTATATTTAAAAATTACTGACAACATATTACATTTTATTATGCTCAAGGTTAATTAAATGTTTTTTCTTTCAGTGGCTCCAACTATTGAAGTTGATGTGAAGCTTATTGAGGGTCTTGTTGTGAAAGCTGGCAGTACAGTCGTCCTCCCAGCGGTCATGCATGGAATCCCAACTCCAACAGCCAAGTGGCAAAGTGAAGGAAATGAGCTTAAAACTGAGGGCAAATGTAAGATTGTTACTGAAGGAAATTCAACTGTCTTGACTATTAGTGAATGTGTCAGAACTGACAGCGGAGAGTATGGCCTTACTGTGGCAAACCCTGCTGGAAGCAAGTCTGTTGCTCTACATGTTACAGTCCTTGATGTTCCATCTGCTCCGGTTGGTCCTGTAAATATCCTTGAGGTTACCCCTGATCATATGATAATCCAGTGGCGTGAACCAAAAGATGATGGTGGCACACCTTTGATGAACTATGTTGTAGAGAAGAAGGATGTCAAGAAGCCTTGGGAGCCGTGGTCAGTTGTGAGTTCTGGAAGCACAAGCACAAAGGCCAAAGTCCCACGTTTGGAGAAGGGACGTGAATATATTGTACGTGTACGTGCTGAGAATAAAATTGGCATTGGTGCTGGCCTTGAAAGTCCTCCCACTATTGCCAAGCATATGTTTGATCCACCAGGTCCTCCTAGCCAACCAACATGTTCTGACATAACAGAAAATGCTGTAACAGTGTCATGGACTGAACCAGAAACTGATGGTGGAAGCCCTGTGAGTGGCTACATTGTTGAGCGCAGGGAGATGACTGGTAAATGGATTCGTGTCAATAAAACACCAGTCTTGGATGTAAGATACAGGGTCTGTGGTCTGTTTGAGGGCAATAGCTATGAATTCAGAATCTTTGCTGAAAATGTTGCTGGTGTAAGTGAGCCTTCATATCCATCAGACCCAGTGAAAGCTAAACGTCCAATTACTCCTCCGGGGCCTCCAAGTAACATTAAGCTGAAGGACTGGAGCAAGTCATATGCAGATTTGGTATGGACCAAACCTTCCAGAGATGGTGGCAGCCCCATCCTAGGCTATGTTGTTGAATGCCAGAAATCAGGTTCTGCACAGTGGGATAGAATAAATAAGGATCTAATAAAGTTTTGTGTATTTAGAGTACCTGGACTTAGTGAAGGCACAGAGTACAGATTTCGTATTAGAGCCTCAAACAAGGTTGGAGATGGTGAGCCAAGAGAACTCACGGAAACTGTGCTTGCCAAAGACATTCTTGTTCCCCCTGATGTAACTGTTGATGTTGCTTGTCGTGACCTCCTAACAGTTAGAGCAGGGCAACTCATCAACCTTGTAACCCGTGTTAAGGGCAGACCTGACCCTGAAATCACTTGGACTAAAGATGCAAGAGTTTTAGGCAGAGATAAACGCACTGAGATGAACAATAACTTCCCTCTTGTTGAGCTGGTAATTCAGGAAGCTGTTAGAGCTGATTATGGAAAATATGCAATTCAAGCAAAGAATAGCAGTGGTCAAGCACAAGCTACAATTATTGTCAATGTACTTGATATTCCAGGAGCCTGTCAGAATTTGAAGGTTGCTTATGTGACTAAAGACTCGTGTATGGTTTCTTGGGAAAATCCAGAGGATAATGGTGGCACTGAAATTACTAATTATAAAATTGAGTGCAGACAACCAAGTCAAAGAGGATGGACAGTTGTTACTTCTGACTGCACCAAACGACTTTTCAAAGCTCCACTTGTTGAGAAATGTGAATATTTCTTCCGTGTGAGCGCAGAGAATAAAATTGGAGCTGGTCCACCAACAGAAACAAAAGCACCAGTCCTTGCTGTTGATCCAGTTGAGAAACCTGGTGAGCCAGAGAACTTCCAAATCTCTGAAATTGGCAAGACATTTGTCTTTCTCAAATGGAAGAAACCAGAATACGATGGTGGTAGTCGTAACCTTGCTTACCATATTGAAAAGAAGCCTAAAGAAGCAGATGAATGGGAACGATTACACAAAGGTGCTATAAAGGAAACCTATTTCATGGCTGACAGATGCATTGAGAACCAAATTTATCAATTTAGAGTTCAAACAAAGAATGAGGGAGGAGAGAGTAACTGGGTGACGACAGCTGAAGTTCTTGTAAAGGAGGAACTTGTACAGCCAGAGCTCAAAGTCAAACTGGCGGGTGTTCTTGTTGTTAAAGCTGGAGATGCCATTCCAATTGAGGCAGAGCTTATAGGTAAACCTCAGCCTGATGTAAAATGGTCTAAAGAAGGTGACACTGGAGATATCACCAAAAGCCCAAGAGTACAAGTTGAAACTGGCACCAACTTCACAAAATTCCTGCTCACAAATTCAAGACGTGGAGACACTGGAAAATACATAATTACTGCAACAAATACTGCTGGAACCTGCTCTGCTGAGGCCAAGGTTAATGTTCTTCACAGACCAGGTCCTATTAGAGACCTGAAAGTGTCAGACATTTCTGTGGACAGATGCAAGCTTACATGGGAGATACCAGAAGATGATGGTGGTTGTGAGATCTATAACTACATCATAGAAAAATGTGAGACAAAGAGAGGTGTGTGGTCAATTCATTCAGCAGCTATTATTACCAATTCAGCTAAAGTTACTCGCCTTATCGAAGGAAATGAATACATATTCCGAGTGAGAGCTGAGAACAAGATGGGTGCTGGCCCTGCTGTTGAAACTGAGTCCATTGTTGCAAGGACCCAGTTCAGCAGACCAGGTGTACCTGATGCTCCAGAGATTACCAAAATTACAAAAGAAGAAATGGTTGTTATGTGGTGCTCTCCTGATAATGATGGCGGAAAACCTATAACTGGTTATATTCTTGAGAAAAAAGAAGAGCATGCCATTCGGTGGGCCCCTGTTGTTAAGTCCCCAATTGCAGGGACACAGATGACTGTTACAGGTTTACTGCCTAATCATGAATACCAGTTCCGTGTTAGGGCTGAAAATGAAATTGGAGTTGGTGATGCAAGCAAGCCATCCAGATCATTCACTGCAAGAGATCCAGTTGGTATGTCCATCTACAGTCAAGTAATTTGTAAAATGTTTGTTTGTTGATGTATTTACAACTAATTTTTTATTTGTTTTTCTATTTGCAGAGCCTCCTGGTCCCGTTAGTAACTTAAAGGTGACTGACAGCTCAAAGACATCAATTACTCTTGCATGGACAAAGCCTACATATGATGGAGGCGCTCCTCTTATTGGATATGTTGTTGAGCTAAGAGTCAAGGGAACAGACAAGAAGGGAGATGAAGGCTGGAAAAGGTGCAATGTTGCTGCCCAGTTGATTGGAACAGAATTCACAGTCTCAAGCCTGGATGAGAAGCTTGAATATGAATTCCGTGTTTCTGCCCAAAATCAGGTTGGCTTAAGTCAGCCAACTAATCTTGGAGGAGCTGTGATACCAAGAGAAGTCTTGGGTGAGTTTCCATAGACTACTCTTAAACTTTATCAGCAACATGCCGTCCTAATTCCTAATTCCTTGTGTTTTTATCCATTTTTTTCCCACAATCTTCAGAGGCCCCCGAGATTGATTTCGATGCAGAACTGAAGAAAGGTGTGACTGTTAGAGCTGGCTGCCCAATAAGATTAGTAGCAACAATCAGAGGCAGACCCGCTCCCAAGGTCTTATGGAGGAGAATGGGAAAAGATAATGTTGTACAGAAGGGCCATGTTGATCTCATTGACACTATGACATTCCTTGTTATCTCTGAAACCACTCGTGATGATTCAGGCAAATATTCATTGACTGTATCCAGTCCAGCTGGAGAGAAGGCAGTGTTTGTGAATGTCAATGTACTTGGTAAGTAAAAAAAAAAAACAAGCTCCCATTTTTTCTTTTGTTTCAGTCACGTGACTTCTACTGCTCATCTGCCATATTTTTAAATATAAAATATAAATATATAAAAAAATTACACAACTAAAACAGATGAATATATATATATATATATATATACAGTGGGTACGGAAAGTATTCAGACCCCCTTCAATTTGCAACCTCACATGGTCTCCACCTGAAAATGATGGTGGCAGTAACATCACTCATTACATTGTTGAAAAACGAGAAATTGATCGCAAGACTTGGGCAACAGTGAAAAATAATGTTGATAACACCGCATTTAAAGTTAGCAATCTCGTCCCAGGAACAGAGTATTACTTCAGGGTCATTGCGGTAAATGAGTATGGTCCCGGGGTCCCAAGGGTTACAGCAAAATCCTATCTGGCCTCTGATCCTATCAGTAAGTGTATTCTTAATCAGAACATTTTTAAAGGCTTTTAGAATTCTTGTTGAAAGGGTATTACTATAACAATTGTGTCTCTTCCCTCAAGGCAAGCCTGATCCACCACAAAAGGTTGATGTTCTAGAGATTAGTAAGAACAGTGCAACTGTGGGATGGGTGAAACCAATGCGTGATGGTGGAGCTAAAATTGATGGCTACATTATTGACTATCTTGAGCTTCCAATGCCTAAACCTCCCAAGAAACCAGTGGAGGCTGAAGGTGAGGCTGAGCCTGGTGTAGAGCCGGTGGCTCCACCCCCGCCTGAACCTGTGATTGAGGAAGAGAAGGAGGAGAAAAAGGAGGAATGGACGCCGTACACAGTCGTAAAAGATTTGAGCATCTCTATTGCTGGATTAAAGGAGGGAAGAAAATATCGCTTCAGAGTGGCAGCAAGAAATGCCATGGGGTCCAGTCTTCCCACAGAGACCAGAGAAGCTTATGAGATCAAGGAGCAGATGTGTAAGTTATTAAATCATATATTACTCAAACATATTTTGAACTACACTTCCACTAAAAACCTGTTCAATCTTGTTATTTATCCAGTCCAGCTGGAGAGAAGGCAGTGTTTGTGAATGTCAAAGTACTTGGTAAGTAAAAAAAAAAAACAAGCTCCCATTTTTTCTTTTGTTTCAGTCACGTGACTTCTACTGCTCATCTGCCATATTTTTAAATATAAAATATAAATATATAAAAAAATTACACAACTAAAACAGATGAATATATATATATATATATATATACAGTGGGTACGGAAAGTATTCAGACCCCCTTCAA